GGGGTGGGGGTAGGGTGGGGTGGGGGTGGGAGTGCAAAAAAGGCTCTCAGTCTCTCCTCTGTCAAGGTCCAGTCAGCCTGGCCCTCTGTCCTAGTTCTGCTGCACTCTGATGTGCTAACCTTCCCTGAACTGCTCACTGGGACTAATCACGTGCGCTTCCCTCCTTTCTACTCCAGTTTCTTCCTTCCTTCCTTCCCGGGACTCAGTCCTTCCTTCTTGAAGTATGTGTGTGGTGGTGGTGGGGTACTTGATGCTATCTTTTACAAAGGCACGTGCTGAGGTGTCATTCACTCTGTAATGAGGAGGTCACCTAGAAGAGGTGGCCCTTCACACCTTTGGAAGCTTTAACTCGGACAAAGCACATCTCCCGAGCACCAACCATATCTGTGTAACCCGCGATGCCACCGGCTCTTATGTGCTTAGTAGAAAATGCAAATGGAACGTTCAGCACCAGATCCTGAAGCTCTGGGTCTGCTCCCAGGAGCTGTAGGATTATTAACCAGCTCCCCCCACCCTCACTTTTATACCTCCACCGTGGCTGAGCCTTTCTCTAGAGCAGCCCCTCCACCCCCACCCCTCACTGCCCTGACAGGTTCACAACCTCTTGCTCAGAGTCAGTCTCCTTAGCTGGGAGTTCCCTGGCTGCTCTGTCAAGAAGCCTGAGGTTTCTTGGCCCGCTCCAGGCTTGCATACGGATGACAGCAGCGGAGATGGCTGACCGAGGGGTGCTGGGCTCTTACCTGTACAGGAGTCGTCCCCGATCGCGAGCGTTGATTTTCCCCCACAACCCATTCTCAAAGGCATCCTTAGCCGCAGCGACTGCCTTGTCCACATCAGAAACCTGGGCCAGGGACACCTGGCAGATGACCTGCAAGGGAGCAGACACTGACCCTCCTCCTGTAAGATCTTGAACTCCAGGGAGGGAGTGCCGAGATGGCTCCCTCAACCGAAGGGTCTCAGAAAGGGTTTGCTCATGTTTCCTCCTGGTCTCCCGGAGGCCCAAACAGACTCAGGCCACCGTGAGGAGGCTAAGCACCATCTCAGTGTTATTCAAATTGACAGTGAATTAATTTAGTGAAGAACCATTGCCCCCCTCCCACTGTAAACAAAGTAGACATGAGATTCAAGGCCCTCAAGACTAGTGTACTGAGCCCCTAGATTCACTCTCCCTCCACTCCCCATGACCATGAACACAAGGACTGTCAGTCTGGGCCAGAGAGAGGCCAGTGCATGGAATCTGTGCCGTCCCCTTGCTGGCGGCCAGGGAGAGGCTGTGTTTTGCTACCAAAGGTGGACAGCCCTCACTGTAAGGCTATGGGTTCTAGTAGCTCCTACCTCCAATTGCCACTTTGGTCCCAGAGGGGGTGACAGCTGCCTGCTGTCCCATCCTTGAAGGCACTCATCCATCTGGTTTGTGTCTCTAAACCCAACCTTCGCCATACCTTTGCAAAGTGTCCTTTCTTTACAGTCCCTTCAAATGACCCATTTTGAATGTGGACGCCCCCCGCTCCCGGGACTCTGGAGGGACATATGTTAGCCTAGACCCGGGGGCAGAAAGATCAGAGCACATTTTTTGAGAGTATGTTTTATCTCAGATAAGTCTGTGTGTGGGCCTGAATGTGTATGTACTGGGTCATGATGTAAAATACTGGGGGCCACAATCAAGAAAGTTTGAAAGACACTGGAGTTAATTCAAGGAAGGGCTTTCTGATAGTAGAAGAGGTTCGTGGTGGGTTTTTGTGAAATGCGTGGGGGATGGGGCAGGAGGGAGCCCAGTGAACTTCATTTTTTTCCTTTGGGAGGTTTAACGCTGCTCCCAGTCGCTGAACAGGCGCAGCACCCTTGAAAATTCCTCCTCTCCTTCCCCCTCTTCTCTATTACTTCTGTAACGGTGAAAGGCAGTATATCAAAATCCAGGGAGGGTGGGAGGCTTGTGTCCATGTCACAAGCACAAATCAATGCAGAAGTATCCCTGGGCCAGGCGCTGCTGGTGGGAGGGGGGCCCCGGGGGCGGTACTCACTGTCCCATCTGTAGGATTGATAGTGTCGTAAGTCTTGGCACCCTCAGCATCCACAAACTGCCCCCCAATGAAGAGCTGGTGTGGCATTCGGAGGGTCAGCTTATTCACTGTCTTTTCCACCTGGAAGAAAAAGTCTTGATCAATGGTGGGAAAACACCAGGCACCCAGGCATGCAGAAGCACAGAGGGACGGGTGCACAATCACACACACAGGCACACGTGGAGACCCACAGCAGGGGCACACACACCTGCACACGAGCGGGTATCTATCTCTCTATCATCTATCTATGTACACACACAGAGGCCAGGAGGCTAAGGAACAAGTCCCCCCTCCTCCCACGGCTTCTCAAGGGCTCTTTTGCTGATGTCACCCTGGGGAGTCGCTGAAGCAAAGTGGGAAACATAGTGACGAGTCATATTGAAGAGCAAAGGCTGCCTACATAGTACCATCGTGTGCAGCTTGCTCTCCATTGACCACAGGCTGGTTGCCCAGCCCCATCGCCGGGGTGCAGTGAGGATCAAGTGGTTAACACCTGCAAGGTAGCAGTGCCAGGCAAGTGCCAGGAAAGTCTCACTTAGCTGGAGAGGACCTGGTGCCAGTGCACTCCTTCGCCTACTGAGTTGCAGGAACAAGGACCAAGGTTGGTGCCACCACAAATCCATGCTGAATGCAGGAACCTGGTTCCCCTCCTGAAATCTGTTCATTGGTCATTCATTTCCCCAAGTTCCAAGGCCAACATAGGGTCTACCAAGACCACCTGTATGTCCTCCATCTGCTTTTGCTTCCAATTACCAAACAAGCTACCCCAAAGCTAATCCCTTGGTAGCCTACCAAAACACCCCAAGGGAAGCTGTTTCAAGATTTTGTTTAAAAAATAGATTTCCAATGACTTCATCTCACTTTTGTCTATAAAAATTGAACGTATAGATAATTTAGTTTCCTCTTTGGGCATTCAGAGCCTCTTTTTAATATCCTGGTTTTGTGTCTGGGGACTCAGAATTTGTTCATAAGGTCTTAGCTCCTAAACATCCAGCCTCCCTCATGTGTCAGTGCAGGCCCACAGGAAGGATGCCCGCCGAGGGGCTTGCGGGTCACAGCCCACGTGGAAGGAACCCAGGACTCACATAGTCAATCACTTGTTCCTCTTGTTCATCTTCCCCTCGCAGCTTTCTCACTAACAACTGCATGAAGTCTCCAAAGGTGGTTGCCATGTAAACATCTTCGTTTTCTAATTCCAGCCCCTCACACAGCTCCTTGACTTCCTCCACCATTCTGCAAGAGAGGACCGAAAGACGGGGGTGGGGTGGAAGGAGCTGCAGTGAACCGGCTCCATTCCCCCCACCCCACCCCTTCATTTTTATGGTAGTGAAGTAGTACCAAACAAACTTGACCTGAGAGAACCGCACCCTGTAATCTTGGAGAGTTGCCCGGAATCGGCATGGAGGCTAAGGACATGAACTCCACGACCCTGATTTCAAGGGATGGCTCCACCATTTATTAACTTGTGACCTTGGGTGACTCACTCTTTTGAACCTAAGTTTCTTTATCTGTTAGAAACAGTCACAGTCTCTTAATATTTTATGATTAATAAATGAGACAATTCACCTATTTATAAGAATAATTATTGGAATATTACTACTACTCAAAAACTTCTTTAAACGAAAGAAAAGGAAAAGCCAAAGATTGGGAGAAAATAGTTGCAAATCACATACTTGATAAAGTATTCTTATTCAGAATTGATAAAGGGCTGTCATAGCTCAATACTAAGAAAACAAGCAACTCAAATAAAAATACAAGAAAAACTACATTAAAATATAAGAAAAACTACATCCTTAAAAGGTAAGAAAAGCAGAATTAGATAGTCTCAAAAAGCTTGACCATACCCAATGCTGACGAAGAAGTAACCAAGAACCAAATGCGCTGACCCACTGCAGCGGGGCTGGTTCTCACGTGTAAGGACTCATAGGACAGAGGAGGACTAGCGCTTTGGGTTTCGAAGACTTCAGATGTTTATGAGAGTAGACAGTCTTATCTTCTCCCTCTAAGTGACGGAGGAGTTCAATGAACTGATCGCTGCCCCATCAGGGCTCTTCCGGGGAAGAAGAGCAGCAGCTAGAACTCCCACACGGCTGACGGGAATGCAAAATGGTACAAACGCTTTGGCACGCATGTAGGCAGTTTCTTAAAGTGTTAAGCAGATATTGGTATGAGTTACTGTAGGTCAATGATGCCTCAATAAAGCTATTAAAAAATAAGTGTCCTGATCGATTAGACTTGGGGACATCAGTAAGAGCTCTGCGGAGAAAAGCACTTCCAGCAGGCCTGACACCGATCATAGAAAGGGCTGGGAAGACTGGTTTTCTAAATGGAAATAAAACTTTCCAAACTGAGGAGGGGGGTTCACTGTGCCTGGAATGCTTGTGTCAATATGACTTATGATGAACAGTGCTTTCCTTCTGAACTTCTGGCATTTTGGTATTGTACCAAGCAAAGAGAACCCATGTGACTAGCCATCAATAAAAATTCTGGACCCTGAGTGTTTAATGGGCTTCCCCGGTAGATAACGCTTTCCATGTCCTGCCACAACCCAGTGGTAAGGGAATGAAGAGCAGCCTGTCTGATTCTACTGGAAGAGGACTCTTGGAAGCTGGTGCCTGATTTCCTCTGCACTGAGACCATTTGCTTTCTCCCTTTACTGATTTTGTTTCTTAAGTTTTATTGACATATGGTCCATATATCAAATACTTCCATGGTTCAATCATATTGAAAAGAGTTGTACAATCACCACCACAAGCAGTTCCAGAACCTTTTCTCCCTTTTTGTAATTATTAGCTTCCCATTTCCCTCTAACCTTACCTTCCTCACCCCCACCACCATGTCCCTAATAAACCCCTAAACCAGTTACTATCTCTATAGCTTCACCCATCATGGACTTCATATACTGGAAAACATACCAAAAGGAAAAAAAAAGAAGAAGAAGAAGACCGAAAACATTTAACAAAGGGGGAGGAAAAAAAAGCACCCCAATAGAGAAAAAAAGCAGGAAGTATTAAAAAGTAGAACAAGTTTAAAATGGCCAAAAGGGAGATTAACTGATCAGGTATCCCATGTTAACTCAATTACATCTTTCATAATTGATACAAGGCTTCCGTCTGATAGCAAGCCTATTCACATCCTTCAACTATGGTCAGAGGGAATTCACCAGAGGCTTAATCCAGGTAGGGACCTTGCAGATGGTTTTTGGGTTCCCTCTGTCAACCGTTGCCTTCTGCAAACAGGGTGTTCTCATGGTTCCTGAATGGCTGCTTAGCCCATGAATAAGCTTAAATTTATAATCGCCTGATCTGACAGCCCAAAGCAGATAACTGCATGAGAAGTAGACAATGCACCCAAGAACACAGAACAAGATCACATGAGTGAAGATAAAATTGTGGGACTTGGTAGACTTCTGTGTCTTGTGCTTGCTATCTTTTGCCAATTCCATGTTCTTAGAGTTTGTGGCCTTGTCCCCAATAGATGGAAATTATTTAAGTTATAGCTTTATGGTTAATGCTAATTATCTTAGAAATTGCTCTATTTTACCAATTAGGCCTTATTAATGGGTAAAATCTTTATGGATTACCTCACAGTTGTATTACACTTGTTTTTGTTTAGCATAGCTACTATCTTTTTATTATCCTTAGTAGGCATTTTAATGGCCTTTGATATGCAAATTCCAAGAATTTATCTATCATTGCTATAATTTGCATGCTTATTGCTGCTGTCTACTTGGGGCTGGGGAGGGCTATCTTCCTTCATTATGAAGCCCTTCTTAGATCAGCTTTTACTACTCTCCAGGTTGTTGTTAGATGTTGGTACATGAGTGACTCAGTGTACAACAGAACAAAACACTGCCCATTCCTGCACCATCCTCAAAATCCTTATCATGTTTGAGCCCATTTTTAACAGCCACCTTTAATTTATAAAGGGCTAATTTATTCAAATTTATTCAAACTGAAAAACAAGTATAATAAAACTGTGCGTGACCCAGAAAGGTTTTACCTGTCAATCCATCTCATCAAGGGTCTTCCTTTTTACCAAGCAGGAGACTCTTTTCCAGAGACGGGTCTCTCTAGATCCATGTCCAAAGTACATGAGACAAGGCCTCACCATTGTCACTTCGAAGGAGCAGTCTGGCTGTATTCCTTCCAAGACAGATCTGTTTGTCCTTTTGACAGTCCATGGTACTTTCACTATTCTTCACTAGCACCATCATTTAAATGCACTCATTCTTCTTTGGTCTTCCTTATCCAATGTTCAACTTTCACATGCATATGAGACAATTGAAAATACCAAGGTTCGAGCCAGACACACCTGAGTCCTCAAAGGAACATCCTTGTTTCTCAACACTTTACACAGGTCTGTGCAGCAGATTTACCCAAAGGTCTCTTGACTGCTGCTTCCATGAGCATTGAGTGTGGATCCAGGCAAGATGAAATCCTTGCCAGCTTCCATCTTTATCATGATGTTACCCTATTGGTCTTGTGAGTGTTTAGATCTTCTTTACATTAAGGTGTAACCCATATTGAATGCCGCAATCCTTGATCTTCAGTGATCCCCATTAGCAAGTCCTCCTCACTCTCAGCAAGCAAAGTTCTGTTGTCTACATATCATAAGTTGTTAATGAGTCTTTCTCCAAATCTGATGCCATGTTCTTCTTCATATAGTCCAGTTTCTCTGATTATTTTCTCGGCATACAGGTTGAATAAGCGTAGTGAGAGGATGTAACTGTGATGCACACCTTTCTTGATTTTAAATCACGTGGTGTTCCCTTGTTCAGTTTGCACAATTACCTCTTGATCCATGTTAGGTTCCTCATGAGCACAGTGAAGTGTTCTGGAACTTCCCTTTCGACACCCCCCCCCAAGGTTATCCATAATTTTCTATGATTCACAGAGTCTAATGCCTTTGCAAAGTCAATAAAACACAGGTAAGCGTCTTTATGGAATTCTCTGTTTTCCGCCTCGATCCATCTAACTTCAGCATGTCCTCTCCTTGTTGTCCCTTGTTCCATATCCTCATCTGAATCCAGGCTGGATTCTTGTCAGCTTCCAGTCAATGTACTGCTGCAAGTGTTGTTGAATTGTCGTCAGCAAAACTACTTGAATTGTCGTCAGCAAAACTACTTGCATGTGATATTAATGATCTTGTTCTGTAATTTGAGCATTCTGTTGGGTCACTTTTCTTTGGAATGAGCACAAATTTGAACCTCTTTCAGTCAGTTGGTCAGGTAGCGGTCTTGCAGATTTCTTGACCTAGTTGAATGAGGACATCCAGGGCTTCATCAGCATGTTGAAATATTTCCGTTCTTGTTTCATCAAGTCTTGAAGCCTTGTTTTTGGTTGATGCCTGCAGTGCAGTTTGGACATAAAGTACCAGTGGTTCTAGAGCATAGGCTGACTCTTGAAATCATGGACTGTGGACTAGTTCTCTTTGGCACTGCAACTCTGTGTATTCCTTTCATCTTCTTTGGATGCCTCCTGCATCATTCAATATTTTGCCCATAGAATCTTTCAATATTACAACTTGAGGCTAGAGTTTTTTCTTCAGCGCCCACCCCCCACACACACCCCACCCCCGGCATTTAAGATATGCTGAACGTGTTCATCTTTTTGGTTTTCTATCTCCAGGTCTTTGGCATATTTCATGATACGACTTTACTTTATCTTCTCAAACTGCCCTTTGGAATTTTCTGTTCAACTTTCACTTCATTATTTCTTCCATTTGTTTTAACTGTGATCAAGGGCAGGTTTCATAGTCTCTTCTGACATCCACTCTGATCTTTTTTTCTTTCTTTCTTAATGACCTGTTTCTTTCTTCATATGTGATGTTCTTGATGGCATCCCATAGTTCACTAGGTCTTATCATTAGTGTCCAATGAGGCAAATCTGCTCTTGAGATATTTTGAAATTCAGGTGAGATATCCTCAAGGTCATATTTTGGCTCCTGTGGAATTGTTTTCCTTTTTTTCAACTTCAACTTGAAGTTGCAAATGAACAACGGCTTGTCTGTTCCACAGGAAGATCCTGGCCACATTTTGGCTGCTGATACTGAGTTTCTGCACTGTCTCTTCCTACAGCTGTAGTCAAGTCGATTTCTGTGAATTCCATCTGGAAATGTCCATATGTGTAGTTTCCATGCATGTTGTTGAAAAAAATGCTATTTTCAATGAGGAAATCATTGGTCTTGCAAAATTGTAACATGTGATCCCCAGCTTCATTTTTACCACAAAGACCACTTACCAATGCACTGCTGTAAGAGCCCACAGTAAAATGATTTATTTTAAAAAATTATCAATGCACATTGATTGCCTGTTTGATCAATTTCAGCCTGAAGATGTTGATATAATTTTTTCATTTCTTCATCACTAGCTTTAGTGGGTGATGCATACTTAAAATAATAGTTGTACTGACGAGATTACCTTGTATGAGAATAGATATGTCCCTGTCATTGACGGCATTACACTTCAAGAATGGGCTTGAAATGTCCTTTGTGGCAATCAATGTGATGCCGTTCCTTTTGAATTTTTCATTCTCGGCAGAGTCAATCATGCAATTTTCTGGCTTAAAATGGTCAATACCACTCCATTACAGTGCACTAATGCCTAGTGTATAGATCTTTTTGCAGTTCATTTCATTTTTAAGTGATTTCCAACTTTCCTAGATTCATGCATCATACATTCCAAGTTCTAATTATGAATAGATGTTTTCAGCTGTTTCGTTTCATTTTGAATCATGCCCCATCAGCAAATGAAGGTCCCCACATCTCTATCCCAGCCACCTCATTATGGTGGATTCAATTCTGAGAAGGCCATTTTTCTTCAGGCCATCTTTTGAATTGCTTTCCAATCCGTCGGAGCCATCTTCCTACTTACATCTGATCATTTTCTGCTGTTATTCATAGGTTTTCAGTGGCTAATCCTTCAGGAACGGACAGCTTATTCCTTCTTCATAGTCTGCTCTTAGTCTGGAAAGTCTACTGAAACCTCTTCATCTGGGGGAGCTCGTTGGTATTTGAATTCCCAGTGACATAGCTTCCATCAGCACAGCAACATGAAAGTCAGCACAAACTGACAAACGGACAGCCAAACAGACAGCCATAGGCTTCTCTAAACTTTGTAGAGAAAATGCTTTTATTAAATTAAATCAATGACTCGCACAGCCATCCTAACTGAATGTTGCATCTGTCATTCAATAGCAGTTCATGGAAAAAATTCAGTTCTACCAAATATTCCAGTATCTGATTACCGTTTCATATGCCAATCCTACCATTAACCTCAATAGCTCCTTCAAATAGATTGTACATGTCAGTCGACAGCAGTCCCTGCAGTTGTATCATATTTTACCTTCACATCAGTTAACTATGCCTACTTTTGTGGTTTCAAGCCAGCTTCCCATTCCCTTGGTCTGGCAAATGCAAAATGGCAAAGCTACTTCTAGAGGTCGTTCTCTGTGCTCTGTAGATGCAAGTTGTGATAGCCTATGCCAGCAAAGCCTTGATGCACATTGTCAATGAATCTTCTACATAGTGGACGCTCCAGGAGCAAATATGCACAAGAAGACACTTCTAATTACAGAGTCCCAGTAAAACTTACCCTGCCATTGTCCTGTGTTGAGCCTGTAATGAACTGAACAGTGTGTATACTTGTAATAATGCACCTTTCACCCACCAGGTAGCCTTACCTATATGTAATCCACCCAAACTCAAAACCAAACACTGCCATCAAGTCAATTCTGACTTATGGTGACTCTATAGCACGGAGTAGAGCTACCAGGGCTCTTGGCAGCTGACCGAAAACACATTCGTGATCCCAGCTGTCTGTTCTAACATCAGTTTCCCAGGTTATAAATCGTTCTGGGAACAGAAAACTTCATCTTTCTCCTGTGGAGTGGCTGGGGCTTTCAAACCACTGACTTTGTGGTTAGCAGTCCAGCCAATACATAACCCACTGTGCTAATGGAACTCCTTTATGTTACTCACCAGTCTCCTGTCCTTATATATCTTTAACCCATCTTGAAACTCCACCTATATGTTACCTACAGTTCCTGCTCTGCCCCTGCCCTCAGCTTTACGCCGGTGCATTTCTCTGGCTCCTTTACAGATCTCCGTCCCACGGAAGTCATGGAAATGTGCAGGACGGTGAAGAATGCTTCTCTGGAGCTCCACTGCACACAGTGTCGGCGACAGCCCTTCCTTCTTCGATTGGCTCGCGTGTGCCTTCTTGGAGTACAAGGAAAGAGACTGCTCCCCCACATGATCAGTACACGCCTTTGTTTCTCCCTTCCCAGCGCCTGCTCCTTTCGTCTGATGCTCACAGTTCCCAATACTCCGCTCGTTCTGTGCTTGTGGGCTGAAGGTGAGTGACTTAATTCTGGGTGCCCCAAATGGGCACGTGATCCACATGGCCAATCAACGCACAGCCACTGTGAGTGGGTTTGTGGGCACATGGCTCTACCAGAGTCAGTAAACTCCCAGCCCAGGACTTTACATAGAAACTAGCAAGAAAAGCAAATCCTTCTTTTCACTGGTAATGTTGAAAATATAAGAAAACAGCTGCTTTGTAGCCACCTTGTCACCATGAGGAGAGACCTTGCCTCACTGCACAGGTAAAGGATGGAGACAGGGTTGATGACCTGACCTGGGTCCTTGGAGGTATCAGTCATTCCTAAAGAAAGCCAACTGACAGTGGGCTTCTTAAGTTTTAGTTTTCCGTGAGTCAGTTTATGCTACTGTTGCAGACAAGGTGCCTAGCGCACATATTGAAATGTATTACTTTTTATATACTTCTTTTCATAAACACTCAAATGTATTCCTGTTAAATGGACTGCTTAATCCCAACTCTGTTGTTCAAACTCATCAGCCACTCTGAGGGAGAAAGGTACATCTGTCTGCTCACTTACAGATTGACAACCCTGCAAATCCTACATCTATTGCTGTTAATTGATAGCAGTGGGGTTGTGTGTATTTGTTTCTTCCAGCAGTTTCTTTAGTCTTTGTGCTGACCTCACCATTCTTCTCCTCTTCTCTGTAGACTAGTAGATGCGGGAGGTCACCTTCGATTCCCAGAGGAACATTCCTCTAAGGTCAACACACACAGGATGCGATAGCCTATGCCAGCAGGGTCTTGATACTCAACATCATCAATACATCTTCATCACAATGGACGCCCGGGGGGAAAATGTATTTTAGAAAATAATTTTAACAACAGGGTCCCCCAAATCCTATCCTGTTATTAGCCTGTTATCACCCTGTAATTAGAACATGCGAGCCTGCTGCTCTGTACCCCACACCCAATCATGCAACCCCACTTATCGCAGATATGCTGCTTTGAACGCCATTGGTTGACTGGAAGCCGATCATGATTTTTTGTTTGTTTAGTCCCTGCTTAAATTGGACCAGCATGCTGCCTTCGCGTCTTGTTTTGGTGGCGCGACCATCTTCACGCTCTACGTTTGGACAATTTCTTGATCTGAGCCAGCACTGGACTTTCAAGGGACCATTTATTTTTACTTTTACAGAGCGTGAGTCTTCCCTCTAGGGCAGGCATGGGGGATTTGCCTGGCAAGAGGCAGGACAGAATTTGGGGGTCATGTTTGATGGGAGCGTGGGTTACTTTATCAAAGCTTATCAAATTGGTCATTTGAAATCCCATTGTACATAAAGTACACCTTGATGAAAAAGATTGGCATCAATCTTCTCTTCTCCCCCACCTTCCCTTTACCACCTCCCCATCCCTCTGGAGCCATCTCTTCCTCACACGCCACTTGTCTATGTCCCTTCCCCGCAGACCTCTACCCTCATTGGAGGCCTGGGGATTTATGTTAATTTTAACACAGAGCTGGAAATTTACGGATACCTCTCCATTGAGAGGTGGGGCTTAAGGCCCTTCCTTTGTACCTATCTGGGCTTGTGGCTAGGTACAATCAGATGAAGTCATGTGAAGTCAATGTTAAGTCGTGTTCAGTCAAGGTCACGTGATCTCCCAAGCTCAGTGTGGCAGTGTCTGTCACGTGTGCTGCCATGCCTGCTGGTTTTCAGAGCCACTCATGGATGGCTCAGCCCAGGGCCAGGCCTGGGTGAAGAGGCCATCATAAACGTGGACATTCCTGGCTGGACAGTTTAACGTGGAGGCTTCACCCTAACTGGCCTGTCTCGATATTAGACCAAGAAAAGATGGCAACTCTCTTATGCCACTGGACGCCGTAGTTATGTGTGAGTGGAACAGGATGCAGGGCCGCTTTGCTCCTGACCTTACCTCACCACGTCCACGGACGCAGCCCCTGACTTGAAGAAATCAGTGGAGTCCTCGACCTGCAGGACACTCGGGAGGATCCTCTGCCACACGCTCTGAAACACAAGGATCATAAGGAAGGGTGACGGTTGACAATGCGACTGCTGAGGCCCAGGGTGAGGCCTGTGATAGCTACATAATCTGGTGCCAACTTGAGACTAGTCAGAGTGAAGGGTTGGAGTTTAGCGTATCACTCAGGTCACTGCTTCATGACCTCATGTGGAGGAGCTAAGGAGATAAGTAGCGCACTGGAGGCAGAACACACACACTCTGGTTGGTATTCCTGATGACAAAGCACATGGAGCTATGTTAGAGCCCTGGAGCTGGAGGAGCCACATAGAGACCCCTGCCAGTGCTGAGATGCTTTCCCTGTTGTTGGATCCACAAGACCTTCCACCCACAGGCCTGTGATCTTCCTGCATTTGGCGTCATTCCTGAAGAGGAATGTATAGATTGATATTGGACATATGGAGTAGCAGGCCAATCTTATGGATGGACAAAGAGCAGCTCAGGGATCCCAGTGAGGAGAACAGGCAAATATCTGATCCCTTACCATGAGAGGAAAAATGAGGATGGGTTCAAAGTATTGGGGAGGCTGATGCTGTAACAGGCCTAAATCCAACATCTTCTGCCTCCATCTTGGCCCCCCCAAACAGAGCAAGGAGTGCCTACAGCTTAGAACAAGAGCATAGAGTGGCCCATGCCTGGAAACACTGCCCCTTATGAGCTAGGGCCCTATGAGCTCCTCTCTAGACAAGCCTCGCTGTGAGCCTGCCCAAGAGGAGTTGTCCACCTCTGACCTGCAAAGTGTCAGCATAGACTAAGGAATCCCCCCAAGAAGCAGGAAATGGTTGGGGGAGCAGGCAGGGCCAGGAATGAGTCCTGGGAAGTGAGCATGTACCCAATTTCAGGCCGCAAAGACAAAGTCTCAGAAGGGGTGAGGCCGTGCGTGGGCCTCACACGAGGGCTGTGTTGGGGTAAAAGGCCAGGAGACCTCATTACAAAGTCTGTGCTTCATTTTTTGGTTCCAGATCTCCCAGGAAAGGGTCCTAGGAGAGTTAGAACCAGCTTTGCCGCATCCCAGGATCCCAGAGGCAGAGGACTAGGAAATAGAGGAAGCCCTAAGAGGGAGAAGCATTTCTGAGCTCACCCAGGTGCCCGAGGTGCCACATTGGCCCACCGAGGGCATCCAGCATGACGCCCCTGAACACAACTGGCAGCGTGCAGCCTACCAACCAAACAGCAGCCTGCAGCTGCCGCCTACCTTCAGGGCCTCTGCCACGAGCAGCTCCTCCTCTGTCAACTCAAGTGTCTCCCCAGCAGCTCCCCGGAAGAAGTGTGAGGCCGGAATCATCTTGCCATCCTCGAACTGGATGTTCTTCACCAGCAGCTGTGGAAGGAAAGATGTCACAGGGACTCCGGTCAGACCCAGAAGGATGACGTCCTAGCGGGAAGGCCCTCGGCTGGCATCTCCAACCCACCTGACAATATGGGATCATGGCATCTGGGCACAAGTTGAGCAACAGGAGCTCAGAAAGGTGAGCTCACGGGACTAAGGGCACGAAGGAAACTTCACAACAAAAGCAAAGTGTGTGCTTTCCCCTTGGACCCCACTCACCACCCCAGTGTTATTTTGTGTGTGTGTGTCTTGTTATTTAAGTGCAATGCTTTTGTTATCTATAAAAAAACGATGCACACTCATCCGAAACAGTCAGTCAAGAAAATATCAAGTCACCCAAGAGATTATCTCCCAGAAGGCCTAGGAAAACAGCTGGCAAACATCATAGTTACCTCTCTGGAATATCGAGGTAGGAAGGGGAGGCAGGGGAATTCTGGGACAGTGGCGATGTCCAGCTCTGATAAGAGAGGTGCTGGAAGAACAGCACACTTAACACATGATCTAAGAGAAGGAAAACCATGTTCCGTACCTGACACAGGGCTCTGCTGCTGCACCCCCAGTTTTCTGTAAGCTAGAGCCCAGTCCGACCCGGCTGGAAGTTCCTAAGAGATCTTTCACCCAATGACCTCTACCAAGGTTCAGTGCAGTGAATTATTTAATGTGTCTCTTGCAGCCAAAGCATCTGGAACTCCCACCCCGGGGCTGTGTCCTGGCGGGTCTGGGTCAGGGAATATGGGGGAAGACACTTAGGATTCAGATGGGAGCTACTGTTAACTGGGTTAATGGTGATTGCCATCTTGCTTGGTATACAATAAGCCACCTCACAAGCAGGAGGTGGGAATCTCACTAGGAGCAAGAGTCAGGTATGGAGCACAACCCTGGACCTGAGATGGCTGTGCAGTGACCTCATGGATCTAGGGGACAGCTGCGACACCAGAGGAGTGACAGGAGCAGCAGCAGCAAAGCCAGGAGACAGAGCGGTGGATTTCCCAGTCCAGAGAGCAAGTAAAGGTGAAGGCTTTGGGGAGGAAGCTCCCTTATGGAGTGGTCTGTCTTTGGGCACGTAATTCACGGAACGGGTTCGCCAACTTACAGAGCTGGAGCTCATGGCCTTTGGGTGGAAGCTTACAGCTGAGCAACATGCCCTTTGGGCATTTATTATCCTAAAATAGCTTTGTAACATATGCTGAACTTTTTTTTTAACCTGAATTGTAAGCTGTTACCTGCCCTAAAATGACATTTGAAGATCTATCTTGAGGTATAATGCTGTCTGTGATAGGATAATTTCCACCTACAGGGAGATCCAATCAAGACACTGCTGTTCAGATGTATGCATCGATCCAGAGGAGATGTGGTGCTGCCCCGATGCCTTTTTCTGTCCTTCTTTCATGTACACAATCTTCCTCAGGGCTCTTCTTAACAAATCTCTTTAGAGATGCTGCTTCTTGGGAAGCCTGACCGGAGACAGGTATCGCCTTCCAATGGCCCTGTTCAACCAGGTATACCTACACCACCCAGCCACTGCCCCGCAGACGTCAACAGCCAGTGGGACCATCCGGTCATGACAAGTAGCAGCACTGTGAGCACAGGGTAGCCCCAAGCAAGGCCCCCACCCTGTGGCTGGCTAGGGACGCAGGATCCCTAGTACCCCTGAAGTACCCCGAAGCTCTCAGCCTCTGATAAAAGAGGCAAAGATCCAGATCTTCCCAATCCTTGTTCCCACAGAGTGTGTATTCGAGTATTAACAGTTCGGGACCAAGGCTAAGGCCATGGCTTAGGACCCTGGGTGAGTTAAGTAAACTCTCCGTGCTTCAATTTTCCCCTCTAAAATGAGAATAATATGAACGGATATCTCCGAGCGTTGTTGAAAAGATGAAATACAATACATGTAAATTATTTTATAGTGTCTGACATGTAAAAAGTGTCTAATAAATAATAATCATCATTATTAGTTTCAGCTTGCTAACACTTTCACAGAGTTTTATATGTGCCAGGCATGGTTAATGTCTGTTTCAAGTGTATTAAAGCTCTTCTGATAACATCTCTATTCTCAAACAAAGAATCTGATGCACAGAGTTTAAATGCCCACAGCCAGTGTCTTAGGCAGTAGGCTAAACTAAAACTAGGTCCCCAAGTCCAGGGTTCCCTGGTAAGACCTCCCTGAGTCTATGTTGTATGACAATCACACAGGGCACCCAGCTCTGGAAGAGGATACGGTGACCCAAGCCTCTCAGTCACAGAAATGGCTCTCGGAAGCACATTGGGCATCCTGTGCCAAGATCAATCCCGACCAGGGACATGTTTGCAGCTGCTTTCCCTGGAGCGCATGATCTCATTTTCTTTGTAGCAGCCTGGACACTTCGTTTGGGGTCTGAGACCAGGACGGGAGTGTACTTAGGGGTGCGGGCAGTGGGTCCAAAGTGAGATTACCATCTTGTCATCATTTCCAAAGAGGATGAGTCCTACTTCAGTGACCACCCCTGGCCGGTGGGCTCCTGGGATGGGCAACGCTTCACCCTTGGGCACCAGACCTGACGTGCTGAGGGTCGAGTTGAAAAATGTCAGCTTCTGTCAAAGAGAGGAGAAATAAAAGGTGGTGGATCAAAGGAGGCCACTGAGGCTGGCAGCCAAGTCAGAGGTGCTCGGGTCAGGAAGATGGGCGGGAGGGGAGGAGCCGACGCTGGGATAGTTGGAGCAAGGGCACCGGCCGAGCCTTGAGTCACCATCATGGTCTTGGAGAGCTGATGACAAGCTGCCCCAGGCTCTGCTTGCCTCTCAGGTCCTCAGACTCCCTTGGGCTGAGACCAGATTGACAGACCAGGGGAGAAAACTCATTCAGTGTCATGGGTCATGGAGTGAGGCAGACTCCCCTGACCATTTTGGTCAGGAGATGGGTTTACCAAAGCAGAGGGTCATATGATATCAAAGGAAGTAAGCCTCTGGGGGACAATTGGCGCAGTGGGAGCATTCAGGGAGAGGTCAGGAGTTTGGTCAGTAAGGGTCAGAACACTACTGCTCAGCCCGCAGCCAAGGGCTGACCTTCAACGAAGCCAGTTCACGACACTGCACTGACCTTGCTACCACGGCTCCTCTCCACAGCCTGCGAGTAGCAGTTGCCCTATTGTCAGCACCTGGACTTTTCCTGGCTCCTAGCCCCTGCCCGCTGCCCACTGCCCACTATCCCATCCCTGGCCCTGGGGATACTTCCCCTCATATTCAGGGCCAAAGTCAAAGTTATAGCTGGCTTGATGTCTCCTGATTCCAGGATTGAGTGCCTGCCTTTGACACTCAATACAACTCAGTGGATTGGTGGGGCACCCAAGGACTGGAGAGGCACCGGGCATTAACCCTTTAGATACTGGGGAGTGGGTAGGTCTGGGAGGTCCTGGGTAAGGGGCTGGGGTGGCTAAGGGGCATAGAAGTGGGTTTGGGCACCAGACAGTGGTTGCTTCCCTACCAATATACACGTTTTAGTGTGTTTATAGCAGTGAGGCCACGCCAGCGCATCCAGCTCCAGTCCCGTGAAGTGTAGCCATACCTGTCCACCGGCCTCAGTCCAGGCGCCTGGCACCTTGTCGTTCCCACGGATCCAATTATGAATGGCTTCAGCTGGCTGGTCCCAATTGATCTGCAGGGCCCAGAGGAGTGCACTCAGGGAGTCTCCCCTCCCCCATCCTCTAGGCTGACCCCAAGTGCTGACCTTTGCACAGCCGCATCCCGGGCAGAGTCTCAGGAACTTGGTTTCCTCTCTGATGATGATCAGAGTCCCTAAACTGGGCTGGGCCTCTTTGGGGGGGCTCTCAATTCTGGGTGCTCTCTGATCTTCCATCTCTCAACGGTTGAATGCATTTCAGAATGATTGGGGGCCAGCCACGTTGTGTTAAGATGGCTAAGGCCCTACACAGTCTCCTCAACACAGACAGTGCTCTCAGGCTTGTCCCTTTGGGGCCCCACGCCTGGTCTGTCCTCAACTACAAGGCTAGGAGACCCTCATCCAGAACCTTTGACCTGTGGGCACAGTCAGTGCACCAGGGCTCTCAAGGATCCGCTGTCTATTTTAACTCTGAGGGACCAAATTCTCTCACCCCTCAACTTCAGATACTGAGGTGGGGTTTTATTTCAGTGTGTGGGAACCCCTCACACGCTTCCATAGGCCTTACCCTCCTAGCGGTCTCCTACCGTCCCCTCTCTTGGGGCTTGCCTGTTCTTCCCAAAGAGCAACAAAGAGGAACCCGGAGGGACCCTCCACTCTCTTCCCCAGTGCCACACTTTCCTGCCTCCGTGGCTGTGCCCAGGATCTCCCTCTGGGTGCAGCCTCCCACCATCACAGCATGTACCACCCAGCCGAGAGCCTAGCTGTTCCAGGAGGGGCCTCCTGCCCTGGGGATGGTGCCTTGATCTCTGGCCCCCAACACTCCCACCCCCCAACCCCCCAGGCAGCTGCAGGGGAGCGGAGTCCAGGAGGTACTTACCTTGGCCATTTCTTTCTTCTGGATTCCCTCGTAGGTGGCCCCTTCTTCAGGCTGAGGGATTCTGGGAGCTCTGCCCTCAGCAATCAGTCTCACAGCTTGAACCTGTATTGGGGCCAGGCTCCGTCAGCTCCCCAACTTCAGACTCAGTCCTTTCGCTCTCCCCTCCCAACCCTGAGTGTGATGAATTTGGCTGCCTGGCACAGTGCCTAAGATGCTCTGGCACCCCCCTATGCCTGGGGTCATTTTAATCTGGCCCTACAGTAAAATGAATTTTACAAGAGACGTGGATTATTAGCTTATTTTGAATTATATGGCCCCCGTATCACCAGGTTTTAAATCTTCTTGGAAGACTACATAAACTATAGAATCCTGTGCAGGTCTAACACAAAAATGCTCATGTTGTTATCTGATGCCTTTTCTGTCTTTTAAAAAAATATTAATTTAAAATATATTTATTAGACAGAATCAGTGAAATTCATTCATTGAAAAACTAGTTTTATTCTTTTTCTTTTTGATCATTTTATTGGGGCTCATACAACCTTGTCACAATCCATACACACATCAATTGTGCACAGCACACTTATACATTTGTTGCCCTCATCATTCTCAAAATTCGCTTTCCGCTTTCTTTTAAGGTGATTGGGTCCTCAGTCCCTTGAAGAGTCAGAGGTCCATGTTTAGAGGCCTGCAATGAAGCCGTCAACAGGTTCTGTTTTAGGGAAGTGGAGGAGCGTGGTGAGGACAGGATAAGAGAAAGAGGGGGAGGAAGCTGGGCCCCCCATGAAGGAGAACCCACGAGAAGAAGCTCCAGGAGCATCAGACTACGAAGTGATTTCAGTATCAGAAGTGCTTTATCCGTGTTGTCCAAGACCACTTTCCCGGGTGGTAGAAGTGTTCTCTATCTCTACTCTCCCATACAACCACCTGCAGTAGTCACGGGGCACCTGTGGGTACTGGAATCTTGGAATCGAGTGAGTGAGACAAAGGAACTGAATTTTTCATTTAAATTAACTTTTAGTTCATTTTAATGCCATCAGTGGCTATTGAATTTGAACAGTGCAGCTCTAGAGGATAATGTTCATTTTTTCTGCAGTGGGAGAAGTCACATGGCCCCTTCTATATGTCTCAGATTAAAGATTCAGGGAAGTCTATTTTGCCTGTGACGTAGGGGAGAACACAAAGAAGCATCTAGTTTAACACACAAAACACACACACACACACATACACACACACACACACACACGACAGCCCACATGGAAGTGAGCCTGTGCTAAGGGCAGAGTTGACATGGGTTGCGTGCTCTCTGCTGTGTGGGAGTCTGCCTTTCCTTGTGGCTGAACTTCCCTCAGAGCTGCTGGAGGGGCAGCATCCCAGATGCAAACACTCTAAACTTCCAGAGCCTTCCTTGACCTAGGAGATCAAGTCTCACCAGCCACAGCCTGCTCTGCCGTCTCTAACACCTCTCATTTCTGACTCTCCGGAACCCTGGCCCCCTCCCTCTGTGCCCAAACTTCTTTTCTTAAGGGGGACCGCTGTGACCAGTATTGTCATGGCATCCACACGCCAACCCAGGCACGGACTGAAGCAGAAAGTCAATGCTGGGCTCATGGTGACCACATGACCCAAAATAGGCCCCTCAGCGTCTCCCCTATATTTTTATTCCTAAATGATTGAAGCAAGAGTGGTGACCATCCATGGGAGGAGTCACTGGATGGATGGTAGAAGCGGTCAACGTGCTTAACTCAAAGTCCACCGTCAGAAGGAAGGCTTGGTGAACTGCTTGTGGAAAGACAGCCATTGACACCCTATGGAGCGCAGTTCTCCGACACACACGTGGGGTGGGATTAGGGTGCATCCTCACCGACCCTCAGCAACAGTTGTGTCCTCCCTCCCTCCCCCTGAATCAAGAGTTGTAAGCCTTGCTCGATCAGTTACTATCCTTTCCCCAGGGAGAGGCCTTGAACCTGAGAATGAAGGAAACCAAGCAGAGCAAAGCAGAGGCCGAGGGTGAATAGGGAAAGAGGATCTAATGGCATGGCTTCTACTCCTGGGTCTGCCTGCAGTCCTCTCTGGCAAATAAGCTTCCAATGTCCACTTTGTTCCCAAAACCTTTTGAATGGGGTTCTCTCGGGGGTCTGCAAGAGTCCTACTACCTACTACAATGCATGATGAATGTCCCAAGTCTGCCCCTTTGGCGTCCTGAAAGAAGCAATCTCCCTTCAGAGCACTGGCACTTGGGGACCCTGTTGCTGGTCAGTTCTGTGACCAGGGCCTCCACCTGGGGCCTAGAGTGGGTGCCAAAGGCCAGAGAAGGCTGTTAGAAAGGCTGCGGTGGGTGGGGCCCAGCTGCCAGCACTTACCATCCCCTTGATGCCTTCAGGGAGGAGGAAGCGGTTGTACAAAGTGTTCACGGTATCATCCTGGAGGACCTCACACTCCTTCTGGAGCAGAAGGTCCCCGGTGTCCAGACCCTCGTCTGCCCAGAAGACGCTGAAGCCTCCTTTCTTGTCTCCGTGGATAAGGGTCCTGGAGACAGAAGGACCACCATCTATGCATGAGGGACAGTGGACGTGCAGGTGCCCCATGCAATCACGTAGCCTGGCCCTGCCCTGTGCTCTTTTGCTCCTGGAGGAGAACAGTGTTGGCGGGACCCTCCTGGGGGTCTGAGAGTTGCTGAAAGCTCCGCCTGCTGGCTATTAGGCCATCCTCACAGCAGGTGGAGTGGGTAGGGCATTGGCAGGGGAGGAGACTAAGTCCCAGGAAAGGAAAGGGATATGACCTCAGTCCCGGAAGCCCACATTTCAACCAACCCTGTCTGGCTAACTGCCCACACTCTTCATAGGTCACTATGTTTTCTGCCGAGAGAGACATCCTAATGGCTCATCTACATTGGTCGCAGCAGTCGGACTCAACCACGGCCTTGTGCCAGCGTCTTCTCGGCACTTCTCATCTCAGCTCAATCGGGGGCTCTGACAGCTCTTATAACGATCGATACATCAGTTGTCTCAAGCATATTTGTACATATGTTGCCATCATTAATTTCTAAACATTTACTTTCTATTGAGCTCTTGGCATCAGCTCCTCTTTTTCCCTCCCCCCATGTCCCCTTGATAAATTATATATAATAATAATTATTATTATTTTCATATCTTACACCCACCCCTGTCTCCCTTGCCCCATGGTTTCTGTTTTTTGTCCCCCTTAGGGTGGTGGGGGTGGTGTGTAGTTTTGTGTTGATCGTTGCGATGGGTTCCCCCTTCCTCTTCATCTCCATTCTTTTGTGTACGGGACCCTTTGCTCTGTCCTGAATGCATCTCCCTCTCAGGAGGATGTTGCTGAGTTAGTTGCGTGGAGATGGCGAGCAGGTGATGCCTGCCCCTGGTGCTTCAGAAGCATTTTTTAACAATTGTGAACATTTCTGCAACCTAGTAGATGTCTGGCTTCTGGTGGTTACAGGAAGCCCTCTGGGGGTTCAAGTTTGAGCCATTGAAGCGTCTTCCCTTTCTTCCTCCTAGCCTTGTCTTCCCACCATCCACACCTTCATACCTAGGAGTTCTCTTTTCTGGACTCGTGATATTTCTTTTTAATCAATTTCTTTAATAAAATAAGAGGATGACATGTGACTTAGCCCTAGACCCTCACAGATACATTCGCAGTCCTCCCTCAGCCCCTAGAATACTGCGCTTCTGAGGAGGGTGGGGTCCAGTGCTGGCAGATGAGGTCACACTTGCTAAAGGTAACGCCCCTGTCACAGGCACCCGTGTCATACCCATCCCATCCCATGGAACCTGAGACAGGCTTCAGAAATCAAAAGAAGGACAATTCAAGGTGATGGGGGAGGGGGGAGGGGATGGTGTTTTCGTCCTTCCTCACCAGTTGATGGCCGAGGCCCCTCGGTGTCTGGGGAGCAGAGATGGGTGGTAGATGATGGAGCCATGCTGGGGGTAATTGATGACCTCCATCGGGATGAACTGGCTGCAGAAGGGCAGGACATTGAGCTCGGCCCCCACAGCCTGGTACTGGGCCACCACCTCTGGTAGAGCCTGTCCTCGAACCCTCCAACGGGGGAATTTGAACACCGGCACTCCGTCCTTCTCAGCTTCCAGTCCTGTGGACAACAGTTGAGAGGCTAGCCTTCCCTGACACCCCACTTGCTCCACTGCCACTTCTGCCTTCCCACCCCAGTGGTTCCTGGACTTTCCCTATCCATCCATTCATCCCTCCCTCCCTCCCTCCTATTCTCCACTCCCTGCCCTAGTCCAGCCCAGCCCAGCAGGCAGTACTGAGGGCAGCACTGGCTGAAGACATCGTTTCAGGCATCCTTTTATGAATGACTGTTTGGCTGAACATGAGGAGCTCAGATGGTGGCCTCTGGGGCACAGCTCCTCTGTGTACCCTGATTGTCAGCTGCTCCCTGCAAAACTTGGTCTTCAGGGAAGGTGGAAGACTGAAGGCTGGAGGTGGGGAAAGGAACTTCTGTGGGGTTCCCGACTTGGGAGCAACGGTGATTCCTTTCCTTGCAGTGATTGGTCCAGCGCCTGCGGGGCTGGGCTCAGTGTCTGTTCCTGGCAAACCCCAGACTAACACCACACAGGTGGAGTCTGCACCTAGAAAGGGGGCTTCGGTCCAGGGGGGTTCTCTCGTTGCTCATCACCAGCGCTCCTGGAGGTTTGAATGATAGCTCTTCCAGGTGTCTGGGTTCACAGTGTCCCCCTCGCCTTAGAGTCAGTAGCTAGTCCTCTGCCCCCACCACCCCCTGCCACACACACATACCCATCACCCCCATGAGACCTTCGCGTTCTTTTTCCTGGATTCTTATACCTATTTATCAATTATTTTTATGACATGCCCTATTAAAATCACAGGCATGATGTGTGGCTTCTGACGGGCCCCTGACCGATCCATTCCCACTCTGGCCACTTCTTTTAGCCTCTAGTGACAATGTGGTAAACGGGCTCTGATGCCAGCAGACTGGCCTGGACTTTTAAAAGCTGTCTTCTGAAACTGATTGTGAAAGCTATTGTACAATACTGTTTGATGTGATTGAACCATGGAATGATATGGTATCTGTATTAACTCCCAATAAAATGGTTTGTTTTTTGGGTGGGTGGTGGAACTGTCTTCACTGTGACCAATGAAAGTCTTCTGCAGGACATCTAAGGTCAAGGTCAGTGGTGGCAGAGGGCAAGTAGCAGCCAAAGCCAGGACTCAGTCTGTGCCCAGTGGCAGAGGGTAGTGTCAAAGGTCCCTCGTGGCAGGGTTTGGGGATCAGACTGTGGTTAGTCAGGCTCAATCATGAAGCCCAAGGCAAGGCTGGCATCTGAGCTTGTTCTCGCGTGAAATCCAGAGCTCAGCCCATTGCTGTCTGGTCTGTGACGTGATGAACTGAACCTCTGTGCGTGGCCAGCCCCGAAGGCCCCTTCTGACTGCCTGTTCCTTCTTAGGTCCTTTCCCTGATGCCCGTCAGCTAGTCAATGTCCTTAGAGGACCCACCACCCAAGCCGAGAGGTTCAGCCACATGCTGCAGAGCTGAGGTTTCAGTTCAAAGGCAAAGACTCCAGGGAAGTGACTCTCCAAATGTCCTTGAAGCCACAGTGAGATCGTTAGTATTTGGTGCCAGCCTGGCTGATTAACACAAGTGGGATTAATTGAAGGGCAGAGAGATAAATGGCTCGGTGAGCCTCGACTTTCTTGTCTCTCGCTCTCTGATCATCGAACCAGTGTGCGGCTGCCTTGCTTGTTCTGTGACTCAATTTAGAGGCTACACTACCTGTGGGACGCCTAACCTGTGGACTGTGTCGCTGTAAGTTGAGGTCCCTTTAAGACCACATGATTGAAATTTACATCTCTTGAGCTGGGGACTGACAGTTGGGGACCTGGCTGACAGTGGGGGACCTGCCTTGCTGTTTTGCTGCCTGTGCTGGGATAGCCGAGCTCTCTCCACAGAGGACATTGTGGTGGCCCTCAAGACTCAAAGGACTGCCAGTGTCTCACAACTCTCTCACGGGAGTGAGTTGCACTGAGCCATTTGTACTGCTTATAATTTAACTGTTCATTTCTTGTATTATCTATCTATCTATCTATATAATTTAACAGTTCATTTCTTATGTTATATATTTATCTATCTTCATATATATATATGATTACTAGCAATCTGGTTTTGTCTCTCTAGAGAACCCTGTCTAACACACACAGTATCAATGTCATCTGGAACTTGTTAGCCGTCCAGTTGGGGGGCCCTCCCAAACCCCACTGAATCAGAGACTCTGAGATGGGGGTCCAATGTTGGTGACCTGATGCCAGGTGAGTTCTGAAAACACTGCCCTGGAAGTCCTTGGGGGCATGGGTACTAGAGGCCAGAATGAAGCAGCAGGTGGACATCAGGGCCTGCATTGGGCCCAGGTCCAGTGTAGACACCGATTGCCAACAGTCTTAGCCAAGACGTGGGACTAAAAAATGTCCTTCTCCAGGAGAGGTGAGGAGGGGATGACCTCTATATTCTACAAAAGCCCCTGCAGCCAGGTGACACCAATATAGAATTGAGAACTGATTTTGTAGGCTTGCTTTCTATCCCAGGGCCCTCCAGACTTCTGCTTCCCAGCCACCTTGTCTCATGGGATCTGTATGCCTGGAGCTCCACGCCCTGCCCATATTCTTTTGCAACTCACTCACCCAAGGGGTCCGCTTTCCCATCCTTGTCTGGGACGGTGAACACACCCACCACCTCATAGCCCTCCTTCTTCAGGTGGCTGTAAACTTCCTGGCCAAACAGACTCTGCCCAATCACAGCGATCTTCATGGTCACAGAGGTGAATCGAGATGAGCTGGGGAAGGAACAGGGCACAAGATTAGGCCCAGGGTGAGTTGGGTGAGTTTTTTTTTAGACAAGTAGCTTTATTTATTTACTCAAGAGCTCAGAGCCCCCAGGGACACGACAGACACTGGCTTTGGGGGCAGATGGTGTCCCGCAGCATCTCCCATTGAAAACTGGGACACCCCCCCCAAAAAAAAAGCCAGAGAGCAAGGGGACCCAGCACTCCAAAACGCCCAGGGGACAGGCTTTTCCTTTGTTCAGAGCCGAGGTCTGCAAATGAGCACTTTTCTCATCCATCCTGGGTTGTTCTTTCCTGCTCTTCCCGGTCTGGCTCCTGAGGACAGAGCTCGCCTCTCAGCCTCGGGATGGCCTTGCCCACACCTGCCGAGCTCCAGGGCTTGGGCCACTGCCCACACAGCAGAGGGTCTGATAACCGACGCCGTTTTGACGGTGACTGGTGTTCCCACCTGGGAGCCCGAGGGAGCTCTATGGAAGGGCACACCTCAGCTGTTGCCAAGCCAGAAGGGCGTCTCTGGCTGGGCTGGGCTGAGGACAAGGACTTCCAGAGACTCTGGAAGGCAGAGTCGGCAGCCGTCTTTCCTCGGAAGTCCTTACACTGAGCTTCCGGGATGGCGCCATCTGAAGGGCACTCGGCACCGAGCGGCCCCTTCGTCTGCTGGGGTGAGCTGAGGAAACACTCCTGATGAAGCTTGTCGAATTGCTCTTTAATGTCCTTGTAACAGTTGCTTCCGCAGCTTAGTGGAAAGCCATCCTGGTTCAAGTGACCAGGGTGGCCAGCATCTCATCCTCCTTTCTCTCTCCTCCAGCCTATGGCCCCATGGGTGACCAGGTCTACTGCCAGGAGATGACCACAGTGACATGAGTGGAAGATTGATCGAAATCTTTTCAATATCAGAGGGGGTCGAGTGGGGAAGTTCTTACAGGATTAGTGGATTTCTTCTCAAACCACTTTGAAGTAGCAAGCCCGCATCAAACTCACTGCCATGAAGTCCGTTTTGATTCAGAGCACCCCTGTAGGGCAGAGGAGAACTGCCCCTGTAGGTTTCTGAGATGATAACACTTTACAGGAGAAGGAAGCCTCAGCTTTCTCCCAAGGAGTGGCTGGTGGTTTTGAACTGCTAATCCCACTGTTAGCAGACCAATTAGTACCCCATTAAGCCAGCCCGGCTCCTATAGCATGGAATAGTGGGAGAAATGCTAAGGGCTCAGCTCTTTTCAAATGCCAGTAAGCACATTTCTATAACTGACCAGCTCTAGGACCTTGGGCCAAAGACATCAAGCCTCAATTACCCTGTTTGCTAATGAGAAGGCAGCTATGTTTGCAAATGAGTTTCAGCTGTTAGTTTGAGCTTATTCCCCTGAGCCAGGAAGCCAGGGGGAGCCTCCACTTGAGGGGTCTGACCATTACAGCCTCAAGGGAAACAAGTACCCCAGTGGACACTTCAAGAAGACTGAAGGTTGGGGTGGGGCATAGGAAACTTGCTGCTGGGGTAGGTTTTTGTTTTTTAAGGTATAATGTCTGGAATGTGGCCTAAACTGGACTATGGAAATTTCTAGTTTTATTATTCACTCACTGTGTTCGGTAGCTGTAAAACATAGATGATTACTTACTATTTCATTTCTTTAAAAGATTCCTCTAAAATAGAAACAGATTTTTAGAAATATGGAAGGAAGTGTTGCATACTTCATACATACTGGCAAGTGCACAAAACCTTAGCTGCACAGGTCAATGAATTTTCACAGACTGAATTCACACTGGCTGTCAGCACCCAGATAAAGAAATAGGATAGAACCCGAGTCCTACAAGTCCTCTGAGCTGCGTCACTCCATCCCTTGAGGACTGACTGAACTAACAGCACAGGGTAGGTTTGCAAGTTTTAAAAGATATACTCCATGTATATTCAGGGAGTCATCCTCTTCTGTGTAACCTTTTCCTCTGCAGTGTCCAGGTCATTGCATGTAGTGGTGCTGTTTTGATTATCATTGCTGCCACGTGTTGCGTGAATGTACTACAATGTATTCATCCATGGCTATTGCGGGCACTCGGGTCGTTGCTAGCTGGAGACCATTACAAATAGGGATGCTGTAAGAATCACGGGGCGCATGTCTGCCTGAACATATGCACACATTTCACTGGGATTCCTGGGTCACAGAGGAGGGAACTTCAAATAGCTCATGGAAAAATTCCCTTCTGGTTTAATTCCATTTTTCCACAAACAGGTTTTCTAAGTTCTTATCGTGAAGTAGGAATTAGGTGAAGGGTACAGAGCAGCTCATCAGTTTTACATTCAACAACTCACAAACATTTTGTTTCACTCGGCCATTGCCATGTTCACTTTGCAGCCACCAACTTACTCGCTTTCTCTCTGTTTCCTGTTTCTGTTCTTCCCAACCCTCTAACCTTTGTCGTTGGGTAAATGGCTCCCCGTGTTGTCTTAATTGGTTGGATCTCCTAGCACAGGGTTGGGTTTAGTTCCCATCCTGAGGGAAGAGTGAGGGCCATGGTCTAGTGTCTCCTTGTCTCTCTCTGACCAGTAGGCCGGTGTCTTTTACAATGTTGAGTTCTGGTCCACATTTTTCTCCCATTCTAACCAGGACCTAATAATGCGCTCCATTTGGGAGCAGTGGGTGGTGGTAGCTGGGAATGATCTAGTTCTTCTGGTCTTAGGGTTGAGGAAATTTATGTTTGCATGGTCCTGAATCTTTTGGACTAATGGTTTCCCTATGTATTTCAAGTTTCATCATTCTTGTTCCCTCCAGATCGGGGACACCAATGGTTACACCTTAGATGGCTGCTCACAAGCTTTTAAGACCCCAGTGGCTGCTCAATATTGTGCTCAACAAAGACAACATTGTGAACTATGTTGTGCCAATAGCTCTGGATCCCCTAGTGACTCATGCTATCAGGGGTTTGGTTAGGTTTGGTTAACTCTGTCTCCTGTATGTTCCACCATATTCAGGGGGCATATTTGCTGCAGAGATAAGTACATATATTCAAGTTAAGTATATATATTCAAGTAGCTTCTGTCAATCCTACATGTATTGGTGAATAAGCTCCTCCCTGTTTGGTCGGCATGTTTATCTAAGCATCCACTCATGAAGCAGCCTCATTTCAAGATTGGGTATATCCTGTTCTTTGCCTCTGTTGCCTTTAACTCTTGAAATGTCTTGCCTCTCAACATCTTGACCACCTCCATAGGTTTTTGCTCAACTTCCTCTTGTTGAATCTCGTCTTTCCCTTCACCTAAATTAATGCCTGTCAAACCTCTAGCCTGTGACTTCCCTTCCCCCACTCCTGGTAGCCATCAAAGTATGTTGCTTTTAGTGTGAAAACCTGTTCTTAACTTTTCATGATAGTGGTTTCATAAAATGTCTATTCTGTTTTGATTAACTAATGTAACTCAGCACAATGTTCTCCTGTCATCCATGTTATGAGATGTTTCCCAGATTCACCATTACTCTTTAGCATTGCATAGTGTTCCATTGTGTATGTGGACCAAAGTTGATTTGCCCCTTCTTCTCTCGGTGTACATTTAGGTGGTTTCCCTCTTAGTTTGTAGCTTGTCTCTGTTTGCGACTGCGAATAATTAGGTGCTGTCAGGTCTCTTCTGACTCATAGCAACACCACCTGCTTGTTCACCATCCGTACAGTTGTTCTTAGTTGTGAGCACATTGTTGCAGCCACTGTGTCAATCCAGCTACTGGAAAGCCTTCCCCCTTTTCACTGATTAGCGTGATTTCCTCCTCCAGGGACTGGTCTCTCCTGGTAACATGGCCAAAGTATGTGAAATAAAATCTCGCCATCCTTGCCTCTAACGAGCATCCTGGCTGTACTTCTTCCAAGACAGATCTACTTGTGTTCTTGACAGTCCATGATGTTTTCATTTGTCACCAGCACCCATATTGCAGCCCAGATTTCTTCCTTCCTTTCTTTCTTTCTTTCTTTCTTTCTTTGTTTTTTTTGCTTTGAAATCAGTATATTGAGAAATTCATACATTTCCAGAACTGCTTAAATTCTGATATCCACATCTAAGCATGAACACATGACTTTTGAACATATAATTAGAGCTATTCATCAAACTTTGCCAAGCTACCATCATGATAGTTATTTCTGAGCATAAGTGAAATGGTTTCCAGTAAGCCTGTAATATACTCAAGCAACACCTTCCTCTCACACTCCTGCAAATCCCCAAGAAAAGGTTTCTTTGCTTCAACATCTAAGTTATCAAGACTCCTGAAGTCCCTACTTTGGAGCTTACCAAAGTCCAAAGAGAAGGGTGGTTTTCATTTTTCTATAAAAAGGTTGAACACACACACACACACACACACACACACACACATTCAAACAGAAAGCACAGTAGAAAGGAAGACAATTCCCAAAGTGTAAGACCTGGAGAAGCATTACTTGGTGATAAATCTCTTCTTTATAAAGACATTTCCACCATGGTTACTACAAGCTAATATATATATGCTGTGCTATCTTCAAGTTAACAATTGATGCAAGAGAATAAATGCAGACAGCACAGCGAATCCCACGTAACAAACTGTTAGCTAGATTCAGGGTGGGCTGCTGGGGGGCCACGCGGGGTTGTCCCTCCCATGTCGGCACAGGAGCCCTCAAGGAAGTTGGAAGAAAATCAGGCAACCATTAGACACCTATGAAGACCCTAACAAGCATGCTCAAATTCAGGCCACTGAGCCAGGTGGGAGGTACACCTGGGTGGTCCAAACTAGTCCCAGGCTCAACACATCACCTAGGTGGGCTTAACATAGTCAATGGGGCCAACCAATGCCTTCAACCACACCTCCTCCAGCCACAGGGTCGCCAGAATAAAGTCAGGAAGCATGCTCTGGGACCTCCTCTCTTACTCTCTCCCCCCAGCACTCTAGTGTCTGCTCTCTCTCTAGCACCAGTCTCTTGCCCTTTCTCCCTTGACCCCTCCATCCCCGGGATCCCTCCCCCAGTTCCACATGTGTGGGTGTGCTGT